ATTTTCGCTATCTAATAGCTAATGCATTATCGAGTTCTATAGAAAGTATTTCCGACGAGTCAAAATCTGTGAGTTAGGATGCTCTATTAAAATATGAACTTTGAAATTTTATCTCAGTTTTTGTTCGAGAGTAATGTAATAATCTTTAAAATGTTCAGAAAGTTAGTTTCGACGGAACTTGTGTGTTAACGTTTCCGGCGAATATGTTTGTTCAATTTGGCCTTCTTGAAGACATTTCAGACGAGCTGACAACGATCGGTGGCGGCCGGAATTTGAATATGACCTTAGAAATTTTAAATCTATTGTTGTTCAAAGATAATGAGACATTTTTTGATATTGAGCCAAGAGATTTTTGTTCATCCTCACATTTTCGAACATCCTAAGCATTGTCGGAGTCGATCATTTTCTAGAGCGAATACTTCTTTACAAAATGTGATATTGAACTTAGCTGTAGTTTTGACTCAAGCATTTTTCAAGAGCTTCTTTCAACGTAAAATAGTTGTCGATTTACTAAATTGAGTATTTAAGAAGCCTTGTCAAAAGACAAAAAAAAAACAGCTTCCAACAGTACATTTTCCAGAGTAGTTTCTGATCTACAAGCTTAAATACAACAAAAATATCTCAATATTTAGTTTCGAATGACAAAATTTCTAAACTCATATTCAAAAAGAGCATCTTAACTCATAGCTTTTGACTCATCGGCAATAACATAAGATGTTAAAGTAACCGGACAAATGCTGACCCCTATTTCTTTTCGATTGAAGAATGCTGGAAGAAATTTTTTTTTACCAGAAGATAGCACTTTTTCTTCTCTTTCGAATTGCATATAACTTATTTTTATAATACACTAATAAACGAAGGAACACAACAGAAAAGAGAAGGATCCTTAAAAAGAATTCACGCTTATCTATAAACAGACTCCATAAAATATTGATCTTTATATTTCTTCGATAAATGGATTCTAAAAAGAATATTTTGTTATCAGTTTATAGAAAATTTGCTTTTCTTTCGATCACTGTATAATTCATATTTGTCACATATTAGTAAGTGAAACAAGACATTGCAAAAAAAAAAAAACATATTCATCCATTTAATTTATAATTTTTATATGAATTCGTTAAAAATATTTTATAAATAACAGATAATCGCAACTGATTGTCATCTTTCAAAATGTTTTCAATAAGTTCATATAAAAATTATAAATTTATTGCACCAATGTTTCTCTTTTTTTTTTGCTTGTCTCATGTCATCCACCAATGATCGACGGCTGATAACAAAATATTCGTTTCAAAATGTATTTCTCGAAGAGTTGTAGGAAACAATATTTTGTGGTGTTTTTCTGAAATTTCACGAAAAGTGCCGATTCCTTTTAAGAGTGCTTCTTTTTTCAGTTGCGTTATTACATTTATGAATGCGTGACAAAAATAAACTATATACGATTCGAAAAAGAAACACATTTTTTTTCAGCCTTCTATCATCGGAAGAGAAATAGAAGCTGGTCTTTGTTCATTTACTTTTTAGTGGATCAAAAGTAAACAAAACATCTTGTCTCAAACATTCCGATTCTTCCGTATTTGATCAGAAAATAGAAAATTTCACAAAGAGAAAGAAAAACTTGAAACATTTCCAGAGCTTTATAATGTAATATATAATTATATTATTTTTGTTATTCTAGCAAATTTTCACTTTACTTTGGATATGGTATGTTGTTGTATTTTTTCTTAACATATATTCTTTGGGAGTATGGATTGGACGTATTGGCGTATATAAAAATCGATATAATTTTATACAATCTCGTCTTACACGTACATCACGTCCAGAAATTCCACGTTTTCGTTTTGATTTTAAACATGCTAAACGTGATCTTGGCGATTATGTACATGAAGAACTTATAAGATCATTTATTTTAGTATATTTAGAAGCTGATGGATACTTTTTTATACGTATGTTAACAGTTAATGTATCTGATTTTGTTGTACAAGAAATAATTGAACAATTATGGGCTTGCTATGTAATGCGATATGGTGAAAATGATGCTAAACTTGCTGAAAAATCTTATTATGAATTTCGAAAAGAAAGAAAATATACATCAATAACTCAGTTACATGCCCCTATATTAAATGTTATGGATGAACGTTCTGGTGCACATGATGCTAAACGAAAATATTTCAGACAACATTCTGATATTACAACAGGATTATTACCACTATCAACATCATACGATGCAAGCTCAACTCATATGAAGAATCAACATGTCTAATCTCGTATTATTTTTCTTGTTTTTGTATTTGAAAAATAACATCCCATGTAATTATATAATAAATTATTTAAAAAACTAAATAGAATTAGAAAATTTCAGGTATTTTCTTTTCTGAATACATCATAGTTTTCTTTATTTTCTGATATGTATTTATCATCGAGCAAATTGAATCAAATATCATATGAAACAAGACTAAAATCAAAAATTTATCTCGATATCCTGAACTTCGAAGATATATGAGTATGAAGTTGGAAACTCCTATTGTTACATTACATTTATTCAAAATCGATAATTTAGTGGCATGGGGATGCCGTATAATCATCCACTGAATATTCTAATAGCTTTTTTTTTTTAAATCTTGATATCCGAATTATGGATATTATGATATTCCTCATAAAATTTTATTAACATCGTCGATAGAAGTGAAAACGAATTTACTAAAGCTTATCGGTTTTATAGATTTATCTAAATAGTTTCATTTTTAATCCGAAAAAGAATTCTAATTTAAAACTTTAAGCTTTCATTTGTATTGCTTCAGTTCATGACGGATAAAATCTGAAATTTCTAATAAAAATAGAAAAATGTGGCCTCTCAGATACCTTTTCATAAGCGAAACCTCTGTTCGAAGATCATTTACTTTAGAGATTCTTAGATAAACTACTTTGTATTCCTAGAGGATATGGATGGGTGAAATGAATATTCATACGCGCACACATATTATCATGTTAGAAGTTTCAGACACTCGAAGATTTCTACATTGTTCAGTCGAACCCTTCAAAAAAGCATAACAGGATAAATTATCGATCAGATTGAATCCTGTGACTATGTTAGTTCTCGACAAATAATGTAAGAACTATACAAAATCTTACTGTAAGTCAGCAAAACGAATTTCAGTATTTTCATAAAAGCTTGAGAACTTTATAAATCCATCAAAATACCTTCGAACTACTTCAAGAAATCAAAATCTATTCGATTTTATATACAATATACCGTCAAACACAATCAAAAAAAGCTTTATAAATCAGTAGTAAAATATTTGTATTTTTGCAAAATTTTGCAGAAATCTTGTCAATCAACAGAATCTGCTTTATTTGTTCTAAATTATAAATTTTTTTATAGAAATAACCAAAAAAATGTTTTACTAACTTACTGTAGTGCTAAAAAAAACATTTTTTATAATTGAAACTAATTCGANTCAGACACTCGAAGATTTCTACATTGTTCAGTCGAACCCTTCAAAAAAGCATGAAAGGATAAATTATCGATCAGATTGAATCCTGTGACTATGTTAGTTCTCGACAAATAATGTAAGAACTATACAAAATCTTACTGTAAGTCAGCAAAATGAATTTGAGTATTTTCATAAAAGCTTGAAAACTTTATAAATCCATCAAAATACCTTCGAACTACTTCAAGAAATCAAAATCTATTCGATTTTATTTACAACATACCGTCAAACACAATCAAAAAAAGCTTTATAAATCAGTAGTAAAATATTTGTATTTTTGCAAAATTTTTCAGAAATCTTGTCAATCAACAGAATCTGCTTTGTTTGTTCTAAATTATAAATTTTTTTATGGAAATAACCAAAAAATTGTTTTATTAACTTACAGTAGAGTGCTAAAAAAAACATTTTTTATAATTGAAACCAATTCGAAACCCTTTTTATGTTTCGTTCATTATTACGAAGCGCTTAAAAAGGCTTAAGACGCATTTAGGAAATCTTTTTAAAGGCTTCGTACCTATGCAGGAAACCTTTTTTCAAGCTCTATCACACATCATTTTTTTGTACAGTGTAGTTATGAGACTCAGTCTAATCGATACTCTATCTTAAAGATACGTGAGCTTCAAAGATTCTTGGAAAACTTGATCTTAAAAAGTTTTCTAAAAAGAGTTTTCGCTTATAAAAAAATGTCTCAGAGTGTCAGCAATCGATTGCTGCAAAACTGCATGGTATTATTTTGCATCTCACAGTTATTATTTATAAAGAAAATATTCGAGTGCTTTGACTTCTGACTCCCAGAAAGCGGTGCGTCCATGTTTTTGTAGACCCGGACCCTGTCCGAACCCAAGTTTTTTCCTTCAATATGCGACACTCCTTGTACACATGAACAAGTAAAGCATCAAAGTTTCAACTATGTATCGGCTACTCTCAGCAACAGTCAACACATAATTATTTCTTGTTGTTCAATTGATGCTTAGTAAATCAAAAAGTTTTCGCTTAGTTGAAAAGAGCATCATGTTAACAAGAAGCGATAATTGAACAATTAATTAATAAACTAAATTCGCTATTGAAAATCGTCAAAGCACTAATAGCACCAAAGTCTTCAGTTGTATGAAATAGTTTTAGTTGTATTTATTTAAATATAAAGAAATGCTAAGACAGAAAGAAACCTGTTTTCGTCAATAGACTTTAGTTTTCTTGTATGAAAAGATGTCGCTCTGATACATAGCTCTTAATTGTAATCAATGATTCATCCTACAGTGTACATGCTATGTGTATGTTATGTCATGTCTGCTTATCTATCGCATGATTCGTTTCCACTTGTTTGTTGACGTAGTTATTTGCTTACCTATACTTGTCATGTCTTACCAATGATTGATCGATCAGGTGAGTAAAAAAGTTTTTTTTTTCTTTTTCATTGACTCAATATGCCGTTATTTAGTGTTATTATTATTTCTTAGGTTATTATCCGTCAATATGATAAGCATACCGTTTTTTGTTTTTTTATTATTCTAGATGAATGATAGAGACGATTTTGCTGAATTAGTTGGTAAGAATAAAATTGTTTAATTAATTTTTTATTTTAATTAAATTTAAAATGTAATGATAGGTAGTGCACGATATGTGACTAAATCTCCAACATTTTATTTTTATGGTCGCATTCGTTATGGAACAAAAGGTGAAAAAGTTGAAGAAAGATTTTTGGTAAAGAAGAAAAAAAAACATCCATAGTTTTAAGAATTTGTCTTTTTTTGTTTTTGTTTAATTTTTAGTGTATGGATGCTGTTCGTGTGTATATTTGTTCAGTTAAAATTCCTGTCAAAGTACAATCAATTGTTGAATAAAAAATAAAATAATATTCATTATTTAGATTGAATCACAATTTAATATTCTATCAATTAAATCAATAGAAAGATCAAGTGATTCACATGTTAGTTATTGATTTTTGCTTTCTAAATATTGTATTAATAAACATATATATATATATTTAGGTTATTATTGAAACAGATGTCAAACAAACTCATTCATTATACGGTCTTCATGATAAAGCATCATTACAACCATTTCTTATTATACTTATTCGAACTATACGTACTGTTTTTCCACATAGATTACAAGCTATGTATGTGTGGCATAAATAAAGAGTATTTGAACAAGAAAATATTTGGCTTTTTTTTTTGTAGTGTGGATATTCGCCCAGAGAATGAATATGACAGATTATTACGTTTATCAAATGAATATTTTGAAGATAAATCAAGTGATGTTCATGTATGTGGAGGTTTTTCTGTTCGTTATGAATGTGCTTGTGATTTTTATCAAACACAATGTTATCGATCAGTACAAAATGTAAGTTTTTCGTTTGGAATTAACAGACATATCAATTATGTTTATAATCTATAGTTAAATAATGAAAAATTTTTATAAAATTCTTTTTTTAATGAATAATGAAAAAAAAAGAAACGCTGAGTTTTCATTATGAATTTTATTCTATTCTATTAGTTAACAAATACAGCATGATGGATTAAGATAAAAATCATTTTTATTATTATTGGTAAAATGCATGATTTTGAAATGATGTTTGAAAGAAAAATGAAAAGAGTTATCGATGATGAAGAATTTTTCAAGATTAATAAAAAGTATTTATTTGGTAAAATCGATTAAAAATTTACCATGTTAGGATAAACGTTCTAATCACTACCTCGTTTCATTTTTCATTGTCAAATCCTTCGTTTTCAGCGAGATAATATATAAAACAATCCTCACTGTTATCTACCCTTTGTATATATTTCCATTGTTATGATTGAATGCATGTTATTTTTGAAATGAAGTTTTAATAAATATTTATTTAGCTTGTTGATACAGTATTTGCTCATCGTGTATCACGTGAATTTACATTTCACGAATTTGAATCACTTAATCCAAAAGATTGGTTACCAATTATTGGTGCATTACGTCATAATGAATGGTTTACAAAATTAACAGTTGAAAATATAAAATTGGTTTGTTTATTAAATAAAATATTCTTGTCTATCTATGAATATTTATGTTTATTTTTTTTTAGTCATCAGAAAGTATTGAAGAACTTTGTATTGTCTTTCGTCTAAATAAAACAATACAACATCTACGTTTAGTTAATTGTGGTCTTAAACAGTAAAAACAAAAAAGATTTCTTTTTTGTTGTTGTTGTTTATTAAAAAAATATTTCTTTTTCAATTTCTAGAGACTTCAGTACGCGATTTGCACATTATTTACCTATTACTAATATTGAAAATTTTGATTTATCCAATAATGCAATTGAAGATAAAGGTACATTTATTATATTGTTTTATTGCAGATATTTTTTCTTAGTTAAAGAAAACTAAAATATACTTGATAAAAAATAATCGATGTAATAAGAAACATAACAATTAGTCATATTTTAGTATCACGATACAACGAAATAACAGTTCACATGATGAATACACATCTTAGCTAGTTTTTCATTTCTGTAATTATATTTTTGCTTTAATACTTGTTCTCCATTGACTTATAAATTTATATTTTCTAACAATGGGATTGGTTTGAAAATCTTGCGAATTTCTTGCTTGGTGCTAATCTTCCACTAGTACTATATTGAAGTCACTTTCAATAACAGCCTATCTGGTTCAATGTTTGCCGATTCAGACCAATGTCCGGATTTAGGACCAACCCATCAAACTCTACTTTCAATTATTATTAAGCATACTCAGTGTAAATAGTTCTGATTTTACTAACTTCTGTCATTTGATTATAAGCAAAATACGTTGAAGTTTTGCTAGTGATATTATTATAGATATAATACTTATTCAAGTTTAATTAACATTAAATGCATTGGATTATATTTTATTTTGTGCTTTAAATGGAACTATAGATAATAATAAAAAACTAGTATTACTTATCCCATTAAGTCTCATTTTGCTTATGAAAAGCTGTATTTTCTTTATTATTGTTAATCTAACTTCACAATTAATATATGGGTCATTTCAAGCAAAACGAGATATATAGAAAAAAAGATTTATACCATTGGGAATTGGTTTCGAACTTCTTATTCGGTTATAAGAGCTTTTTATCGTATTCTGTTATGTCACTAATGATTAATTTGACCTCTAAACCTAAAATTGTTCTTCTTTCTATTTAAGGTTTAAACGCTCTAAGTACAATATTACAACAGCGTAAATTACCACTTCGATCTTTTAATCTTCAATCATGTTCAATTTCACATAAAAGTTTATCTAATTTTAATACAGCATTAGTTAATAATAATTGTATATTGAAAAGTCTTAAAATTCTTAATCTATCCGGAAATCGTATTAAAGAAGAAAATGTAAATTATATATTATATTGAAAAAAAAAATGTCAATATTATTTATTTTCTTTTTTTAGTGTATTACACTTCTATTTTCTAATAATGAAAATGTATTAGAAGAATTACATTTAAGTGATATTGAATTTGGTCTTGAATCAGTAAATTAATATTAAAAATAAAAATTTTATTATTTACTTATGTATTCTTTTTTTGTTTTAGTTTTTTCATTCATTAGCAACATTACCATGTAAACTTCGTCGTTTATATATATCTTCAGTAAAATCTTCTATTCCATCGGCAATATCAGGTGGTGTAAAATTATTTTTTACAAAAACTCAATCCTTAGAAGTCTTACAATTATCAAATGCTAATTTATCTAATGATTTTCTCAGGTAGAAAAATAATTAATATGTTTAAAAAAAACACACAGAAGAATTGTTATTTTGTTTTTTTGTATATATAGAGAATTATGTGATGGTCTTCATTCGAATATGCATTTGAAAAATCTTGATTTATGTCTTTCGGGAAATCAACTTGAATCATTCATTCGGGATTATGCACCTCGTTTTGCAGCTATTCCTTGTTTAAATGCACTTGATATTAGTGGATGTGGTAAGAAAATTTATTATTGTTAATAATAATTAAGTTGAGATACAGAATCTGTCGTTCAAGTGAAAATTTTTTTCTACTCTAAAAATTAAATGAAGTCTACTCAAAAATAATTTACAACCTCGAATTAATGTCCTTAACGGATACAAATATTCGCGACCGGACTCAGATCATATTGGATATCAGTTCGATAAAATTCTTAACTTAACCGGTGCATTTGATAGATCAATTAACCAGTCAGTTCTATCAGGACATACAATGTAAAACTCAGATAACTGTTGGAATTTAATAACTAAATGCTTTCTTATAGTTGCATAATGCTAGTAGTTGACAAGATATGGACAACAGAACAAAAAATGTTTTCTAATATATTGTAATTAAAGTATTAACTGAAAATTACTAGCTATTGGGATTTTATGAGAGTTGATTAAAAGTAGTCGAAGAAAAGTATTAGTTCAATATTTAGACATGAGGTTTTGAAGACGACTAGAAATTTATGCATTGAATACTTCTAAACTCATATCTCTTGATTATTTAAACTATGGGAATTGTTAAAAGCCAGTAAAACTGAACCGAGTGTCGACTTTCCAAGCGCGTTACAGAAAACTACCTCAAATCGCGTTGGAATAGCCAAAAATGATAGTGATAAGCTAGATTGAGGGTAGACAGGATAATGAAGTTTGATATGTTGTTCCGTTACCTTCCACGGTTCTATCCCAATTTGTGACAAATAATCTGTTATGTATATTATAAAAAAACGAAATAATAATTAATCTAAACAGCGATCCAAGCACAAAAAATGTTCTAATATTGACCACATATGAAGAACACAATAAAGTAAAACAAAACTTAATATAATAGAATTAGCTTTTATGAAGAATTTATCCGCAAATACTGAGACACCACGTGATTTAATAATTGAATATAGTGAGAGGAAAATGAACTTTCAAAAAGGTGAACATGTATTTTCATGTTGGAAAAAGCATTCACCTATGTATCAATAAGTATGACATTTGACGTCAATACTAAGTTTAAGTTCAGCTTCATCAACAATAAGCAAAACAATTACTTGACGAAATTGAACGGATTTTAGAAGTAGAAAGCCATCAAATGAATTCTGATTCACTCCTATTTTTATCGAATTTGAGATGAAATCTCTTTTTTATTGCTATTTATAGAAGAAACTAAACAGTCTTCTTGTTGATATAAAGTAAAAGTTTGAAAGATCTTCTGGGTATTGATTAGCTCCAGACCGACTCTGGTTCGGGTCCAGGTACAAAAAGTCGTACCTGTACAGATCGCTATTTTGAACCATGTACATCATTTAGATCATAGTGAAGCTTCAATATCCTGAAAATAAAAACTAATTTTCGAGTTTCGACGTCAGGCTTCGTATAAAAACAGATCTTACTCAGAATAGTTGATTGTGAAAGTTTAAGATCTTTTTATTATCCCTATCCATAAGATACGTCTATGATAAACGCATATCTTTTTATTGACACTGACAGATTCGATTTCATTTGAAAAACCCAAAAAATCGGTTTTTCAAATATTTCCGATAGAAGAACAGAACATTGATTTAACAGCAAATTAAAATGCAAATAATCTTGTCATGGTTTTTCATTACAAAACAGAAGCTAAATATTTTATCTCGATTTGAGTTTTAGTGCATGTTATCTATCAGTTATCAAATAACAGTACACAACCATGGTAAATGCATTAAGAATTTAGTTCGATGTCTAGTTTTTCTACATTGTTAATCTACCTTATATATAGATATAACCAATCAATTGATCACCATTAAGTCTCTTACCTCACGACTAACTTATTCGAATGTGAAATACTTCATATATATTCAAAGTTTGTTTTTGATTATGTTTGGAATAGGTGTGACAAAAATAAAATCTGTATTAATATTAGAATACCGAAAGTAGTCAGTATTAAATGCACCTAGAATCACATTTCATTAACATAATATAATCTGGAAAATAAGACGAATTCGACTACTTAGCGATATTATTGATAAATAAACTTTAATAATCGTACAAAAAAAAATTTATTATCGCATTTAAGATTACCAACAAAATTATTTTACGTAAATTTTTTTTAATTTTCTATTTAGATTTGGATAATGAAGCGGTAACATTATTAATTGAATTAAAAAAGAATCAAAAATTAAAATCACTTCATATAGGCAAAAATTTTAATAATACAAAAGCAAAGTAAATCATAATAAATGTTCAATGGAATTTATATTTGAAAAAAAAAAATTCTTTTTTTGTTGTTTTTAGAAATCTTCAAAGAATAGTTAGTGCAATGAAAGATTTTGTCTTTGACAGTGTAAATAAGAACAAAAGTTTAACATAAAACAAAAAAAAAAAAAAAATTTTAATTTCTAGAAAGTTGAATATTTATCAATAGCTGATTCTAAATTACGAGAAAATACAGCTGAAGTTCTTCTATCATTAATTAATAATACATCAATAAAAAGTCTTGATATTCGGTAAACAAAAACAAAAAAACAATGAAACAATTTTTGTAAAATTGTTTTATTATTCTTTATATTGTAAAATAGGGGAAATTTAATGACTGATACTGGTGTACGTGCATTCACTCAAGTATTACAAATGAATTGTCATTTACATACAATATTCTACGATCGAAATGTTCTTTCATTGAATAATTTTGAAGATATTGTTAATGCTATGGAAGAGTACGTATTAATTTTATTTTCATTGGTAATAGATTATTAAAAGATCTTATATTAAAACAAAAACATTTCTATAATTAGATAATCTTTTTTTTTTCCGAGGCATTCAATTTGTCATCTATCTTCTACGCATAAAAAGTATACATTTAAAGAAAAGAACACTCTACTATGACATGTTCGTTTACATAAAAAAGAAATACAATATTTACAATGAAGGTCTACAAAAATTTTACCATAGTCTTTCTACTACAGCGTCAATATACCCTGAAAATTTCATTTGATTAGAATATACTTGACTTAAGACCGATTTTTGAGAAGGTTTATGAAGACCGTCTTTCCAAATTTTTGGTTTCTTCATTTTTGATATAGCCCTATGAATACAGACTCTGCGCTGTGAATTAATACTTTTATCAAAGTTGACTCTCGAAATTCATAGCAGTAATACTCACGTTGCGGATCTCTTATACTGCTGAACGACGGCCACTTTTCGATCATTTGAGTTGGAAGAAAAAAGTCCTGATACAAACAGAAAAACCTGTTTTTCGTTCTTCTTGAAATCAATCTTTACACAAATAAACGTGCAGAATCACTTCCGTTTCTCTAACGTAGAACGAACAATACTGTAACATTGATTGTTGGCAGATTTTGCATAAGAGCTTTAGTAAAAAGAAAACATGTAATTTTTATTGCGGCTGAGAAAACCGAAAGACTTTTGGCCGGTGCGATCCATATATTTCTTAGAAGGAAGTATTTCGGAATGTAAATTCTATGTTAGCTTTTGCTCTACTCATAACAAGGGATTTTCTTAGGTTTTGACCTAAGAAGATTCTCTACGGCCATATTTGGAATCACCATGGTCGATAATCTGTTATCTAGTGACTTTTGAGTGAGAAAAATGATTGATTAGTTGAAAAAGTTCTCTTGCAAGAATTCTGTTCGTATAAATTTCATAAACCTTATTTATGCGAAACTATAAATCTGCTTTTTTTTTATCACAGGAATTATGTTATCCAATATTTACCGATTCCAATTACTGATATCATACTAATGAAAACATCAGAAAAAGAGCGTATGGAAAAACTTCAATTCTTAATGAATAAAGTAATTAGTTTCTATTTTTTGTCTTTAACTTCATGTTAATTTATGTTTTTATTTCTAAGCTTGATTCTCTATGTATAAGAAATCAAGAACAAAATCAAAATATATTTTCAACTGATTCTTTACTTGTAACAACAAAAGCTAATTTAGCACGTGAAATGACAATGTCATGGGAAAATCAACAACAATTATTTGGTGATCAATTATCATTAGAATATATTCAATCATGTTCAAATAGATCAAATAATAAAACTGATGAAATAAAATCAATATTAACACGACCAGCACATATTAATGAAGTATATTTGAATATATTTAATTTTATATAAATAAAAAAAAAAAGCCAACAAATAAACATTGTTTTTACTTTTAAGGCTTCATCTCAATTACATGATTTATATTTAAGTGAAGAAGAACATTTAAAAAATGAATGGAATGATATGTATAAATTATTTGAACAAAGATTAATTAAAACACAAGAAAATTTATCAAAAAAATATTATCAATTATTTAAAGAAAAATCATTAATTAATTATGATGATGTAAATAAAGAAATTTTTTTCGGTTTAATTAAATATTTTTCTTTTCTTTATTTAGAAATTTCAAGAAGAAATTCGAACATATTTTGCAAATTCAAATAATAATATTAATCATTTATTAAATAAAGAAATACCTGCTAGAATAGCAACATATACACGTGAATGTTATATTAATGTAGCAACATGTTTAGAAAAAAGAGCTTACGATACAATGAATGACATAGCGTTTGATATACATAAACAATTGGTAAGATTATTCAAGGAGAAAAAAAAAAGAGATGAAAACCGATACATTGATCGACGGCTACACCAAAGTCTCAGGGTTCCGCAGCAGCCACTGAACTTTTTGAATGAATTTTTCAAAAAGTTTCTTAATTTCGAGAAATTTTGAAAAAAACTGATTTAGGACGTCGAAATTTTTTTAAAAATTCAATTTTTTTTTTTGTGTTATGGTAGCGCCGTTTGGAATCTTAAGGGACCCCCCCCCCCCCCTTTCCGGCGTTTCTAAGAAACGGCCGATCGAAAATTCCTGAAACTTTCAGGGTAGATAGATTTCGAGTAGTAGAGCAAAAGTTATCATGGGCACAAATTTATCAGACCTCATCTTCATGGGCTTCCAGAGACCCCAAGGTCAAAAACTTGCAAAAAGTTCCCCCCCGCAAATCCACATATTTTATCCGTTTGAACTGAAATTTTTACTGTGGGTAGACGGACCCAATCGGGATGGCTGTTTTTTTTTTTTTCAAAAATTCCAAATACTTCAGGCTGAAGAACCAAAATACTGAAGACTTCACAAAATCGCTAGGTTTTTTGGATCCTAAAAATTTTGCAAAGCCTGCCAAACTTGATTAGTAGAAGGTCTCCAAAAAAACAAAACGGCCAACCCAAATCATTTGAAGTCTCACCAAAAAAATTTTCAGCCCGATCGGACTTGAAATGGCGGAGAAAAAGGGGGAAAACCAGTTTTTGATACCCAAAAAACTAGTTTCGAGAAAAATGCAAAATAAAAAAAACTTGTAGAAAAATTTTTTTTTTCGCTTATACGTAAGTATAGGTACACCATATCATAATATAACTATGTTAAAAAAAAAAATTTTTTTTTAATGCATATGTCTCCAAAAAACCTGGTTTTTCAGAGACTTCCCGACCTTGGATGGTTCCGATTTTTATAGCACACATAGAGGAGACCTTGATACACCTTTACATGAAAAAAACAAAATCGAAGAAAAAAATTTTTTGGCTCAGGAAAGGTGGGATCCCCTTAAGTAACTATTTTCGGCAATAGTAGTGGTGCGATGGATATAAAAGTTTGCGAACATCAGCAGGAAATATTCTCGAAAAATCGATGGCGGCGACGACGGTTTACACTTTTAATAATGCCTAACGAGAAAAAAAAGAGAATTTTTCTTTAGGATTCTTCTCAGATTATCTTCTTCATATTCATTGTTCTTACCCATTGAAAACTATGATTATTCTTTTAATCTCTAGGAATCGACTATACTTCGTACAGCAGTTCCTTCACCCCAAATGTCAACAGCAGACGGACAACAAAATACACCATCATCTAGTAAATCTATCATCATTTTATTTAAAAAAAAATCATTTAAAATCTTTCTTTCAAACTATAGCTCTTGATCGTCTTGTTAATCGTGGTGCTCAAGTTGTTCATCGTCTTGCTCATAAACATACTCATCCTCAACAAGATTTAACTGATGAAACCATAAATAATCGATCTTTAAAAAATACTGATTCTAATGAATGTCTTACAGGTAATTATATTCTTTGATTTAAAAATTTTTTACAATAAATATTAAATTTAGATCGTTCACCAAAGACACCTAGATCAGCATCGAAAGATAATCGTTTATTAACACCTTCATCAAATAAAAATCCAACTCCTCCGGCTCCAATATCACCAAAACCATCATCAAATGCTAATCGACATCGATCAGTTTTATTTAATGCAGATGAATTAGAACCTACTCCAACAGATGCTAGTCCAATTTATAAGAATTTTCCTGTTCTAAATCGAACAAGAAAACAAGAAATTCCATTAGAAGATGAAGCTGATCGTATTGAACATGATTTACTTGATTTGGTTGAACAAGAACAAATAAAAGATCAACAAAGAAATACACCACCTGATATACCTATGAAAAAAAGAATGACACTACCATCACAAGATGATCATTTTGATATTGACCTTGAACCAACAACAAAATTAGTTCATCTAGGTATTAAATAATAATTGAAACAAAAGCTTATCTAATCATATTTTTTCGTGACTGAATATTAGAATTAGCTTGAAATGTATTTTATTAGAAAGGATATATTACGAAGTTTTCTCTTCAATAGTTCAACAAAATCGAGATTTTTCCATTATGTCGTCCCAAATAAACTATGAGTACACTGAAAAAAATTTGTTCCTTTAGCTTATTGCTGTGCAGACACGGCACTTTAACAACACTTTCTAGATGAATGTCATGATGACAGAAAAAATGATGTTCGAATTTCGATTTGAAAGTTTCCATAGAGACAGATCTTAATGAGAATACTTTGTTGTGAATGTTTCAGATCTGCTCGTTGTTTCTATTCGTAAGATAAGCCTATGATGAACGCATGTCTTTTATATAACAGTAGATTTTATGTTTTTATTTCAGGATAGAAGCAAATCAGAAGACCTAAAATTTTCATAATAAATTATTCTCACTAAGATCCTCTTTTGTACAAAGCATCAAATCAAAAATTCAAAAATTAGTTGTTCTGAATCCCAGCACAGTAAACTACTGAAGTCTCGCTTATTCTTCTGTGATAACTTAACTTTATATTGACACAGGATGAGATCTAAGGTAGTGAAATTTTCTATGTCCTGAAAACAATGTTGCTCGATATTTTAGAAACCTTGCCATCATAGTTCATCTATGAAATCTTCATCTAGAATGCATTAGATAGAAAACTATATTGGCTATTAAAATGTCTATCTGAAATTGAGCTGATTGTTTAACATTATAGAAAAATACGTTGCTGTTAAAATGTTTTCCTCTACCATATTTCTCAATTTAGTAATCCTATCGAAGAATATATTTTATCTGTACTACGCTATTGATACAACGATTTTACAATCGAAAAAAAAAATAGAAATAATTAAAATAAGAAATTTTATGAGATTGAACCTAATGTTTTAGATATAACTATTCGTGTTCATGTCTAATGCTAAACATTTGGACAAAGTTATTCGTTGGTAACATGACTTCCCAAAATTAAAATACATGTATTTCGGGATAACAAACTTTCCTAGAGCTAATTTTCATATGTTATGTTACGCTAGATACCCTAAAAAAATCAACTCTAGAGACCTTTATTCAGAGGAGTTATCATTAAAAAAACTAATGTTAACAAGAACTTGATGGAATGTTTAGAAAATCGATTTTTAAGAGGAAGTTTTTTGAAGTTTGATCGTACTGAAAAATCCATTCTTTCAGGTAAATAACCTTTGTAAGGAATTAAAGGTGGGTATGCCTCGTTTTGCTTGAAATCACTCATATATTAAAGTTAAAAAAAAACTCGTCTATTCTCATATTTCCTATCGAAAAAAAAAGATTTCTCTAATGAAAAATGTCTTAATTAATCTTTCTATTAAAGGTAAAGATCGACCTCGTCGTGGAAATGTACGACGACCTGTAAAACGATCAACAGATGGTGCTTCACTCGATAGTTCATCTGATGGCGGTCTTGATAATGATGATAATAGTATTGGAGATATACCAACAACATCAACAATTGAAACATCAAATCAATCAAATATAAATCCTCCTGAAATATCAACTGTTGAACCACCAGTAACAGAATTACCACCGAAGTAAGTAAACTTGATGAGTTTGGTGTTGTTTTCTTTTTATTAGTGATACTTTGATGAACTTGTCGGAGAATAGGAAAATATCTTATCTATAATAGACGTCCACTCAAACCAGACAATCTATTTACGCAGTTAGTGATGAAGTGCATGCATGTTCTCTAATGACTTGTGCCTATTCAGGATTAAAGATAAACCAATGAGCTTGCTGCATGTATTTTGTTTTTTATTCAATCCTTTATTTATTTGTTTTCTTTTTGTTTTTTATTAACAATTCATTCTCTTCTTTTCTATATGTAGAGCAATAACAAAACTTAAATCAGGATTAAAAACTTCAAAAACACCAACCGATGAATCAGCTCCACCACCTGTTCCAACTAAAATTCAACAACAAACACGTTCTTCAACTTTTCAGCAACAAAATAGTACAGCAACAAATGTTACATCAAAACCAACGACAATGACCAATAATGATTCATCACAAATTATTAATTCTGATTCAACATTGGACCCACTTCTATTAAAATCTACAATGTCACTGAGTCCACAGGCAACATTATCAAATAAAGATGATCAAAAAGAAGCATATAATTCATTAGAAAATATATCCCAAGCACCACCAGTTTTAGCTCGAACAGGCAAAGCAGCAATTGGTACTCGTGTACTGCCAGTACTTGATTCTAGCGGAGAAGCACCACCAGTTAGATTAAGACACTTTCAATCAGACAAAAAAGGTATATTTTATATCACTCATAGTCATTCAATAACTAATTAATTAGCAAGTATTATTAAGATTACAGAATTTTTCTTAAATGAACACCGTTGAGACTTTTGAAATGTGTTGATCTATCGGAGATAGAGCCCCTTCGGTTGAAAATTTTATCATTCGAATCCGGTTGATCAAACTTTTTTTGGGCTCCGACAAGGATTCGGTCGAACCATACTTTGGTACTTTTAGTCGAAAGAGAAAAACTAGGAACTCCAGGACTCAAAACATGAGTTGGAATGGAAAATATGAACCGAATTGTCTTGTGCAAATAGTTCTTCATTTTGATCTGCTTGAAAGCATCTCAGACAAGCCTAAAACTATGGATAATGATCAAGAGTTTGTGCTCTCTTTGAAAATGAGATTAGTAATCTTGTGTCTATTTTTGTTCGAGATCAGGGAAAAAATGATTTAAATATCCAAAAAGCTTAGATTGAATGATGGATTAAAAGACTTCTGCTAACCTTTATAAGTTCCTTTTCCAAGGTACCAAAAAATTTTTGCCGAACAGACACTTCTTTATCCAATTATAAATTGAACTAAGCTGGAGCTTTTACCTAAGTAAAAGTAGAAGCACTTTGCCAAGAGCTACTTTTCACACGAAACATATTTTGGTCGGCTAGCCTACTTTTCCAAAATAACAATTTAAGTGAAACAAAATAACCTGTAGAAAAATTCAAATAGAACATTTTGTAGGGTAGGTTCTGTTCTAAAATATGCTATATTAATGAAAATGTCCACGTTTACTTTCAAGTTGCAATAATGAAAGTACAACAGTGTACCGAAAATTTATCGTGATTCTTTCTGAAAATCATCTTAATGGTTTCAAAAAAATTTCTAAGCCTATATTCAGAAAGATCCCATTATTCTAGTTATAATCTATAGCTTTTGACTAAATATACCCGACATGATTTCGAGACCGGCTTGGTCTCGCTCGTCACTACTTTCGATTCCTCGGAAAGATTGTTAAAGATAGTCAAAAAAATAAACAACCATTTTGTCTCAAAACTTTCGGTTCATCCATTATATAGTTTTCTTAGAGGAAAAATTCTATTCAGAACAAGATCGAACTGTTTCTAATTGTTCCCAGGTTGAAAAATCTGACATCAGATCGGACAAGATCTTATAAGATCTTGTAGTCTGAACAAAATCTTACAAGAATCTGACGAAAAATCGTAGTCTCTGATTTCTTACACCAAGTCGTATTATAAGATCCTATAAAGATCTTATATGCACTTCATTTTCACCACAAACTTATAGTGCTATTTGAGGGCCATATTAGTTTAAATAGAATACTGCTGTGATTAGTTCACGACGCAACAGAGTCTTACAAGGATCTTTTAATACGACTTGGTGTAAGAAATCAGAGACTACGATTTTCCGTACGATTTTCGTCTGATCGTATCAGATCAAATATGATCAGACGTACGATTCTTGTAAGGTCTTATTATCTGATTGTTCGCCCTGGGTTTCATTTCTTCAATAGAGAATCCAACAGGATCTGATGCTGCATCTGGTGTTGGAGATGTATCAGTATCATCCGATTATGATAAGTTCAAACGTAAGAAATTTTTCTTCCTATGTAATATTTTTGATGATTTAATTCAAATATATTTGAAGGTTTATCAGTGAAAGAACGAGCCCGTATGTTAACTACACCTAATCCTCCCATGGCATCAAGTGAGAAAAAGACAACAACAACACCACCACTATCTAATACAACAGGTAAATAAAGTAATTGAAAGGTCTTTTTTGTTTTTTTATCAAATTTAACTTCCAGGTGTTTTAAATGAAAAATAATATTTCGAGTAAGATTTTGTGTCGCTTTTTAATGCTTCCATTTATATGCTTTTTTTTCTAAATATCTTTTCATAAACAATCATTTGTTTATTTCATTTTTTATTATTGTTGACTTTATTAAATAAATTTGTTTATTTTAGTTTTATCACCTTATACACCACGTACTCACCGACGATTAATTGAACAAGTGAATTTATTTTGTTAATTGACACATTCCAAGTATTTTTCTTTTTTCTGTCCGTATTATTTATTAGTGTTCTCAAATATAAATTTTCTCATTAATGTCTATGCTTGTTGTTTACTATAATATTACATCTCTCATTAATATTCGAAGAGTATTCCTTGTCTTAATTATTTGTATTTGATCGATTTTGCTTGCTCATTGGTGCTCATTATCCTTTCTCTTTTAGTTTGTCATGCTTAACTTCATATTTTTTAACATACCGATACGCTTCTTCTTTTTATTATGTAAAAATAGAAAAAAAAAAATGACACATATTGATCTATTCTTTATTTTTTACTTATTCGCTTATGTGTGTATTCTTTTGTTTGTTTCTTTTTTTATTTATTATGATAACAAGAAATCAAATAAAGAAGAAGAAAATGATTATTATATTCTTGAACAAGACATTGAATTTCTTAGAGAGAATTTGTTAACATATTTTCCACGAAGAAATTTTTATCGAGAATCGATATAAAATGTTGTCCGAGAAATTTCGTCAAAACTAATATTTCTGGGATAGGTAGTATCCTGCAACTCGATTGAATATCCGATTTGGTTCGAAACATGGGTCCGAGTCCAAATATGAATTCAACCATACAATTAATCACATCTAGGCGTTTCAAAATGTTTTTCCTTTTTCAAACTGTTATTCATATATAAAAGCATAGAAGTAGAAAATCGATTCGATCATGATTGAGCAATTTATTATTCTTGCGAACTTGTCACAAAAGTGAAAAACGATATTGTTTTTAATGAAAATTAATATATCGATTATAATGAACCATATGATGAAACAATTAAATATATAAGGAGGAAAATGAATTATCAAAAAAGGTGAGCATAAAAAGCATGAATGCATGTATAATGTTTGTCTTCAACATTGCGTTCCGTTCCAACGTCACCAGCAACAAACAAACGTATACTGAGCAATATTAATCAGATTTTAGAAGGAAGAAAAACACCAAGTGAATATTGATTCACTTGCCTTTTTTGTAGAATTTGAGATAACTTCTTTCATTTTTGTTTCCGTTTATTGAAGAAATCAAATAGCTTACTTCTTCAAATAAAATAAAAGTTTGAAAACCGTACTGTGATTATGAAAGTATTTGGCAGATGCCGACTAACTCCGGTCGAAAAAAGTCGTACCCGTGCACGACAGTAGCAAACTTCAAACGTAGTCATTCATTATAGATGTGACAATACCAACAATATCTTATCCAGTATCCAATACCGAAGGGTTGTAAATAGGCGCTCACTTTCCTGAAGTTTTAAATCGCCTCTGAGGAAGATAAAATCTCGATAATATACTGAATACCAATACTGTATTGATATAATTAAATGTTACCGTTTATTCTAGTCATGATGTGTAGCTCGAATCTAAAAAACAATAAGCAGCACTCAAAATCTTTCGTGTTCTCCATAAATATTGTATTAATGCTATGCATTCCGATATAGTCATTATGCCATTGATTAGAATGATCAAAACATATAGATATATGTCAACATTCGCTTTAAAATTGAAAAAACTACAAGTAGTCTTAAGTGCAATTGGAGAATAGACTAAAAATTATTATTTGAATCGAAGCTTGATTTATCAAATAACTATGTACAAACGAAGTATCATCACTGCATCATAGTTCATCAAAAACGAAAATCGCACGGAATCGAACATCAATTTCAGTTTTTTCCACGATACAAGTTTGGACTTGTTCAAAAGTCGAATCTTAGATTGAACACTGACATATAAATATATGTGAAATAATTAGTTCGTAATTATTCTATTAAGATTTAAATTTGTCATTTCTATGATATGTGTTAAACAACAAAATCATATACTTATATCAAACATTAGAAGAGCGTAATTTTTGAGTTTCGCTCGTTAAAGCTTGTTTAGATATTTGATGAAAATGAAATATGTTTAGAAATGCATATTCATATCATGAGATTATTTTAAATTGATAAGGAAGAAGTTTTGTTGTTCTTTTTTATTTAATGAACTAAAGCTTTAGCAACAAGACTTGAAGTTGAAGAAATTGTTGCCGGTCGAGGAATTTGCGGTGTAGGAAATGGTAAACCATAAAGAGCAAATGCAGTACGTGCTCGACCACCATCATTTCGACGTCGTGCAAATGGATATGATATAGAATCAGGAGTAAAATTTCGAAATGCTCGTCGTGTTTTTGTTATTCTTCGATGAGTAATTGATGGTGATTGACGTATTGTTCGATGTAATAATTTTTGTTCTTGAGTTAATTTACCTTGCCGATCATATCCATATAATTTATGATGATAATTACGTGATGATGTTGGTGTACTTATTAAAAGTTCATAAGCATCAAATGATTTTTTTTTCTCATATTTTTTTGCTATATTATATACACGATAACAATGAAATGAAATCATAAGAATATTTTTTGACATAAACAATATTATTGATGGTTTACTACATCGAACATTAGTAGCTAAAAATATTCGATAAAGTAGAAGAAGACCATCATGAATAAATAAAGACTATTAGAAATAAATAATGAAAAAAAAAACGAAAACGAAACATCACCTTAGATAATTTTCTTTTAATACAACTTACTCGAAAAAGAGGACATATATTTCTATCTTTAAGAAAATTTATTCGTCTTGGTAATCGTCTTGTAGGATAATATGATGTTATTTCATTAGAAGGTGATGTTAATCCATCAGTATCAATAAATGCCATTTCAAATAAGGCTATTGTAAGAAGAACAAGACCTATATACATCCAAATTCGTTCAATGATAACATCATGATATTGTAATGAATGTGATATAGATAATAGATCAGCAACGTTTATTAAAGTAACAACTAGAACAATTCCACTTTTTTCTATTGTCATATGTTCATGACTTATAAGTAAACGACTTATAGATAGAACAACAAGTAAAGTTTCTTGTATCGCATCAAGCCAACGTTGTTCTTCCATATAGTACCATGCCTAAATAGAACCAAAAAAGAAAGGTATTTCTAAGTTGTTGTTTTATTTTCTATTTCGATATTTTTAAAATTACTTTATCATGGCATTCAATATGTCCAATAGAAAGAATAAGTTGTGTAGTTGTTGGTAATACGCGTCGTATACGTGATGGATCAGATGACAATAATGTACTATTTGAAAGAGAACTTCGTTGTCGAATATAACTTGATGGTAGAGGTACTCTAGCACTAAGTTTATTTTCTGCAAGACGATATAATTTTCTATTAGCTGTTTCAACATGAATTATCCAAAGTGATGGTGCTGAACATGTCAAATAGAATATGATACAGAAGGCAACTCTAAAAGAAAAAGAAGGAATAAAATTTAAAAAAAAAAAACTGTATTTTTTTTTTGTTTTGCTTTATTCATACGTTTTAAATTCACGTCCATTTCGTAACCAAACAACAATGCCAGTTTCGACAAGTAAAAATCCGAGACCAACAAGTATAACCCAACAATATTGGTTTTCATTTGTATCGACAACACGCCAAGCACAAATAAGTCCATGAGCTATAAGAAACACTCGCACTAGGAGTGACTTGACTATGGTCAGGCCGTGCATTCATTCGGCCATCTGTCTTATTTATCTTCTATCACAATTTCTTTTGATGTGAACGAAAATACAAAATAAAAAAAAAAGTAACGCAAAGAAGAGTTAGAATAACATAGTTTCGTCAACAAATAATTAATGCCGACTAAGCCTTTCTTTTATCTTTCCGTTGGAGGTTTGACCAATCCGTTCGATACTATGTATTATATATAATCATCAATGTAGGTATGTCTTCTTTTTCTTAAGTCAACATTTTTTTACATCAAAAAAACGCTTATGATGTTCACATCATCATCAGATAAAGTTTATACGACATAAAATATAACAAGACAATGTTTGTAGTAAACTTGTCCATAGAGCTATTGCATACATATCAAAGTGTTAGAAGGAACAAGAAAATAGAAAATAAAATAGTGTGTTTATTTATTTTTCGTTGATTCAATATATAACGAGGTAGTATGACAAAAAAAACATGCGCATTCACAAGTCATGTTAGTGTTAGTTCAACGAAAAATAGACTTTTTTGTTTTTATTGATAACTATTATTTGTGTGAGTGCATGTGTCTTTTGATAACAATAATATCAATATGTAGAAAAAATTGTGGTTGAATACAAAAATATAAATAAAAGAAGAAAATTTTCTTCTTATGGCATAAAAGGAAATAAATAAAATACATCGATATAAATTAAAGTTTAACAACTTGTTGTTTATTTAATGACAATTCAACCATTCGAATAGATATATTGGATTTTTGTGATACTCTACTCGAAGGTGGTTCTGATTCGAATACATTATCACTTTCATATGTATCATTTGCCACACCTAAATCCGAACTTAAATCATCACTATCACTATCAGTATCTAGATTATCAAGAGTTTTCAAATAGTGTACAACTTTTGTTGCCTTAAATTGAGTTGCTAAATGAAATGGCGTACATTCATTTGCATCACGAGCATATGGATCAGCACCTTTTTGTATTAAATAATGAACAAGTTCATAATCATCGGCTGGACCACATGCAATATGTAATGGTGTCCAACCATTTTTATCTTTTCCTTTTAAATTAACACCTTTTTCTAAAAGATATTTTACCAGTGAAATATCTCCATTATCACATGCAATATGTAACAATGAACGATAATCTCCATCGGTCATATGTATATTAGCCCCATTAGCCAAAAGTAATTCCAAAATATCTACAAAGGAAAAGAAATTGAAATATAAAAAAAAAAAAAACGTTTTCAATTTAAATAAATTAACCTCGTCTTTTTGATTGAACGGCAGCGTGAAGTAATGTCCAACCGGATTTATCTTTTTTATTAACATTAGCATGTTTATTAATTAACATAGTCATTTTTTTTAAACAATCATTACCACTACCTACAACAAACATCATTGGTGTTGCGCCAGTTTTATCTTCAATATCAGGTTCATTGACATAATCAAGTAATACTTCAAGTATTTCCGTATTTTCTGCCCAGGCAGCAAAATGTATTGGTGTTCGTCTCATTGAATCAACAGATCGTCGGAGGTATTCTTCGACATCTCTATGATTTAATTGAGTAAGTATGGTGCGTAAATCATCGATATTATTATCATCAACTGCTTTTATTATTTTGCTACATTTAGCAATATCTCGTACGGTGCCTTGTACTAAACCATGATATACATCCGCGACAAGCTCGCGTGCTCGTTTAAATAACATTAACAATTTACTGATATGACGTTCACTCAATACAAAAAAAAAATAGTCACAAATAAAACATAGGAAAATGGGAACGAGTAAGAAAATGCTATGCTTCAATGATTTGCCAATACTGACATACACAAATATTCATGTAGGCTATGAGAAAAAAAAAATAATAAATAAAAAAAAACCCATATCGATGTTTCATCATGAGTATATCTTCCTTTTCTTTTTTCTCCTGTCTCGCGTCATCCGACGAGTAGACAACACGCAAACATTAATTGATTTTATAAGAGAAAAATATCGTTATATTATTACTCCAAGTATAATGAAGTTTTTCTGTCCCGACTTCAAAATACAAAACATGCGCATTAAAAAAAAATATGAAACAAACTAAGTCAAACATAATACATTGTGATGATGTCTAGTGAAGTATATTAGTCGATACTTCGTACGTATTTTACAGAGATGATTGATAATAATAAGATGTAATTTTAAGACATTTGATTTTTGTGTTTTCATGAAATCTTATCAGAAATAATAATAATAAGTCTCATTTTTAATATGAATTCATGTGTTCAAAAACAGATATTTGACCATTATAAATCTAATTTATTCCATAAATTTCTTTATTCAATAATCATCTAGTATACCATCACTTCAATTAACATTTTGAATATATCATCGATGAAGTTCAAAGATTCATAGAAAGTTTGTTCACACTATCGTCGATATACCAACTGTAAATTGTCGGTTGAAAAATAACTTTCAGTATACGGTAGTGGAATAGCGGTTAAAAGATCGCCAACCATTTAACCACCGATATAGTGGACATTATATTGAACAATTTATATATAAAAATTCAAAAAAAAAAATTAATATAATTATCAGACACTATAAAGATGTCCTTGATTCAGTTTAATATTGTAAAATATTTCGATTTATAAAATTTGAATAACAATAATCAATCAAAGTTAAATAAGATAATTAATGATACAATAAATGACAATGAAATATCTTTATTGAACACATATTTTTCTACTTCACGTTACAAATAAACATAAAATATGAATTTAATTTGTCTGTATTTTTCTCTTAAATTATTTTTATTACATTGAAAACAAAATCATCAAGGATCCTATGGATAATTATAAATGAAGCTAAGTTAAAAACTTATGTATCAATATTGCTTGAGTATAGTCTATTGAATAAGTATTCGATATATATTATTTGATGACTAATTATATTTTCTTTTCGTCTTCTCAATTTTGTTTGACAATGCTCGAAGAACACAAAGTTTTTCATCAAATATTTTCTTTTATATCAATGTCACTTTTGTTATAAGGAGGGCATTGACAACAACGTTAAAATAATGTTAATAACCTTCCTTTTCAATTTGTGCTTAATACAAATCACTTTTACAATTACTACAAGTATAACATATTCATGTTGGACAAATGCAACATGTGGTTGTTCATTAAATTTACCTATTTTAACGAAAATTATTGGTGGTGAAGAAGCTACAATGAATAGTTGGGGTTGGGTTGTATCTATACGTTTTCGAAATAATCATATATGTGGTGGATCATTAATATCATCTGAATTAGTTTTAACTGCTGCACATTGTCTTGTTTCAATAAAAACATTATCAAGTCTTAGTGTTACAGCTGGTTCAAATTATTTGTCTATTATTAATCAACAACGATCTGTTTCAGAAATTTCTATTCATCAAAATTATAATTCAATGACATATGTTAATGATATAGCTATAATACGTTTATCATCACCATTTGATATGAATGATCGTTCATTAGCTGTGATTTGTTTACCACCGCCAATACTTGAATATCCACCAAATGATACTACAGTTATTGCTATTGGTTGGGGTGTATTGTCAACAATTGAAAAAACTTCATCAAATACATTACAACAGGTGACTTTGAAAACTATTGCTAATACTATCTCGACATGTTTAGTATCAATTCATAATGAGAGCGGTCAATTTTGTGCTGGTGTTCAAGGTGGGGGAAAAGGTATGAAAAAAGAATATGTTAATTATAATATAAGATAGCTTTTTTTTAAATAGACACATGCCAAGGTGATAGTGGTGGTCCATTAATGATGTTTTCTAATCAACAATGGTATATAGTTGGTATTACAAGTTATGGAAATGATTGTGCTTTACCTTTCTATCCTGGTGTTTATACACGAGTATCAATTTACGGAAAAGATATTTCTTGTTTTTTAAAAAATGAAACATTATGCATAAAGAAAAAGTTTATTGTTCGAAACTCAGTTTCATCAATTGTCACATATTTTTATATAAATAATTTTTTCATTCCTTTGTTTTTAGTGATAATTAATTTCACATTTTGATAAGGAATAAAAACTATGAGTGACTTATTTTTTATAATCGTCAATCTATTCTTGGATATACAATCTTGATAGATATATTTTTCTGAATTGTGGAGATAAGTCACACAAAGTGCTACAATTTTAGTAATCTTCCCAAGACTGGAAATAATCAATGACTATTTGATGAATGCGTATGCTAAGGAAAAAAATAGAAATAAGAAACGAAAACCAAGATTTTAAAAGCGAAATAAACATCTTATTCAATTGAGTAAAGATTTTGTCACGAGACAATTCGTTGCGTGAATAAAACATTGCAATATCTTTTCTAGATGAAGATATGAGTGCGGATACTGATGTGTGGCTATGGTAAGGTAAAAAAAGAAGCGAAAACTTCAGTACTCCGAATTGTGGTACTCCACTTGTACTTGAGAGTACTGGAGTTTTGATTTTTCTCTCTTAGGTTGTAGTGTGTGGAAATTAGTGAAAGAAATATCTAGACCAAAAGCAAAACGTGTTCATCCTAAGTGAAAATTCGAATATTTCCTATCGCGATTTGCTTTATCCCTGTATCTAATTTTCTTCTTGATAGAAGTAGGTAGAGCTCGACGAATTCTGTAAGATGTATTAGTAACACTTTCATTTTTGTCAAATTAATCAGGAAAAAATTACAAAATACTGCGAATTCTCACCTAGGATGAACACGTNTTTTGTTGCTCAAATATGAAATTAATATTGTTATATAATAAATTATTTATTGCTCATTTAATGTCAAAATATTGCTCATTTAATATCATAATATTGCTCATTTTATATTATAATATTGCTCAAAAATTATTGCTAAATCATGTTTTTATTATTGCTCATTCTATATTTTTTATTGCTCAAATAAATACAAGCCTTAAACATCTATGTGTGACAATATTTTTGTCTGCAATTATTTTATAATAACTGCACGTTTTTTTCCAAACAACCTGGCTATCTGCGGTAACGGATGAAAGTTACTATATTTCTTTTTCTAGAATGATATTCAATGCGGTATCTCTTGCTGGTTTATGCATTCAGCTGTGGTATTAGTGTCTTAAATAAATATTCCCTCTTGCATTTACCTTTTGTATATTTCAAATCGATTGAGTTGTACGTGAGTCAAACTAAGAACGTAGAAACTTTTTTTTATTAAATCAATGTACAACATAGCATCTGTTTCTGGAACATGAGTCTTCCTAAGAGAGTACTACTTCTTAAAAAATCGTTTACAGAATCACCCATTGTATATCTCAAAATTAGTCGGTACTCTGGGTTTAAGTACGAAAGTAGAATTATTCACTTTTTTCACATCGATACACATCTTGCATAACTTTATGAATTAATTATGGAACCTTGACAATAGTGACTTCTAAATCATTAATATCATCACCCATTCTGCTTTGCAAACGTGTAGACAACCGATTTCAAAGACACAAGTAAATACGTGCTTTGCTTGATAGAGAAAGCATTATGTATTGCTTAGTCAGGTAACGAGCAGTGACAAAAGGCTTTTGTAGATTCTTTTTCATAATGACAAAGAAGTTTTCTTTTCTCTAATCTGGCCATGTGCGTCGAGCGACGAAGGTAAGAATGCTTTTTTTTGTATACATGTAGATGAATTAGTGTTTATTGCTTAATTAGATACCGAACAGTAACAATCATCTTTTGTACATTTTTTTTCATAAAAGTTGTGCGTTTGTTCGAAGCACATGGCTATGCACGTTAATAGGTGAAGGTAAATGCATTTTTTTTTCTAATATGATAAACAAAGCAATATCTCTCGCTGATTTATGCATTCAACTGTGACGCTAGGATGTTAAACATTTGCTTTTACAATTGCTTTTTTGTATATTTCAAGTTGATTTGCTATGTATATCGAACTATAAAAGTAAACTGCTTTTTTTCATTACATCGATATACAGCGCACGTAGTTTAAGTCTGTGCAGGTTCGTGTTTCGAGTGTATTCATCATTTATTTTTCAAGATTCTATCAAGATTTATAGTTGGTCCTGTTCATAATCCTGACAAGGACGGATGTGATGATCTGATCAAGATTTCAGCTATTTTTTGTTTCGAATCTGTTCAGGATTATTGTAAATCTTTTGGTAACAAGACGAATTTTAATACTAATGATGAGTAAAATTTCAATCATTATACATGGGAGCATCTTTGTAGTTTTTATTATGTTTTGTTTCGAAACAAGTACTATTCACGAGCCTATCAGGACTTTATCAGGACCATAATTGAGCCTTTCTAAAACAAACAGAGGGCTTCTGAAGAAATTCTAAAACATATTTTTTAGGCTTTTGAAACGTTTCTATCGAAATTGATCTGAAATTTAGATTGAAAACACTAGTTATTTTGATGATTCTATCTACGAAGAGAACTTACAAAGCGGCAACTCGTCTGGTAAAACCTGCCCATAGTTCAGACTATATGCAAAAATTACTAGAAATAGGTTTTTTTTAACCGAATTGAAATTAAGAAAAAATAGTAAAGTACTGTAAACTAAGAACAAGATTTAGAATGATATTGTATTTTACGAATTTTTCAGATAAGTTGTGTTCTCATAAAATTCAATTATCGTTTAAGAATGCAGTCCAAATTTAATATATGGAAGCTTTTAGTGATATAAAAGACATCGCACAATCCAGCAGGTAAGCGAAAGCTCTAGAGATCGCTAGTGTATGTGCTCATTTCGCTTCTATTCTCTTTAGAAGATCTTGCTAAAATTCTGTCAAGAAATCTCAAATCATCCTCGAGGAAGCTCGACAAAGTCATGCAAGATGTGGACAGAAATTTCTATTTCAATTATAAACTATTGCAATCCTGGTAGAATCCTTATCTTACAAGAGTGAAAAGCTGCTCAAGTTCATTTTCAGATTTTGTTCAGAATCATAAACCATGTGAAACAATTTGATAAAAATCACAAAAAGATTTAGTATTAGTCGATTAAAATCATACACCTTTAATGGGTTATAATCAAAATGTAATAAAAAATATCAAAATTTCATTGATTATTACGATAATTTTTGATAAAAACTGATTTAAAATCGTGCCAAAAAAATCATTTTTAATCAATTGCAAGTGAGTAAAATCGACAGAATTAGAATCTAGTTTTCGATGATTTACATTTATTATAATCAATTTCTCGATGATAATTAAATCGATTTGCATCAAAAATAATTAGAGTAATCGATGAAATTTTTATTTTGTTTTATTATTTTTTGATTATAATCAATTTGCAATCGAATAATAATTAGATTCAAGGTGTATGCAATTAATTGATTTAGAATGAACTTTACGCATTACTCTTTTTGTTTACACGGGGTCAAAATCTTTGATATTTTGTGGCTACACGTTTCTTTCAGGATATACAATTTTCTAAACCGATGCATAATTTTTAAATCTGGTGGTATAATTCTCCCGATCTTGGTTGAATACTATTTCAAATTTTGTGAGAATCTTGAAATTCTGTGGCTACACGCTTTCTTCAGAGTTTAGTCGTTCGTTTCCTAAAGAGAAAATTATGAGCCTTTGTAATATTCTTATTAGATCTGTCAAGGATCTAGTCTGAAAACAGCAAAGACTTCCGTTGGAGCTATCCAAAAGTGTACCATGTCGAGTTTTCTGGTCCCATTCTCTATTTCAGTTTTTATCAATATCGATACTGCTGAAAACAGAGTCCCATCGATTAATTTCTCTGGTCAACAAACACTCAGATTTCGGCATTCTTGCTTTTCGTCTCACTGGGTATTAATGTTGCATTGTGAAAGGTTTGCAAATGTTGATGCTTATCGGTCGAGCATTCGATCAACAAAACCAATAGGCCTCACAAGTGTGGTTGTCCTACGAATTAATTCTTCTCGAATACAATCTTAAATTCGATTTAAAAAGATTCTTCGTTTATGACAATGAGAATCAGATTCTCTGTTGTTTCAAAACGACTGTAATACTACTTTGAACACAATAAGGGTTCAGTACGAAACTCAAAAAAGATTCCAAATTTTGCAATGAAATCGAAACTTTTTTCAATGGTTGTAGAGCTTTACAGACTCTTAAGAAGATTTCGTTCGTCTTACAGAATCTTAAACCCGTCTCGATTTGCTTTCATTTTGCGAACCTCTTCAAAGTAGCATATTTTTTTATGTGAGTGGAATGTGTGATCCACTGCTTGAATAAGATCAGCTGAATCAATTTCTGAGACAATATACATTGAGTTGAACAATTAGCTGAGAAAATTGACGACGTCTGACTATTGTCGATGTCGAAATAAAATAAATCTCGATATTCTTTAATTATCTCGAGAATGAAAGCAGCTAGCAACTTGCAGGTTTCCATCATTCAGAAGAGAAATCTGGGAGAGTAAAATTCTGCTAAACTATCTTGGCTATGTGTTGGTCAAGCTGGCTAGCTTTTACTGTAGATTTTGACCAAAGGTTTCAAAAACATTTTTCAACTTACTATGATTTTCAATTCACCCAATCAATAGCGAAGACATTTGTTTTTTTTTGTCAATCTAGGCAAGGTCGACCCTTTCTCCCTTATTCCATTTAAGAGTTATAAGAGTTTTACTCGAAGCCTTAAAATCGGCTAACTGACCATTGGTCATCCTGAACTGTATTGAGTTTGGGGTAGTCAACAACCCTGTATTGAATTGCAGTCTTTGTTTTTAGTTTCAATGTGACCAGAAGTTGTTAGCTCGTGATTTTTATAATACAGTGTATGCAAAGCTTTTAACATTGTAATGGATTTTTTTTCTGGTATTTTCTAGATCTTGATACTCCAACGTCAGATCATTTCAAAAGAAAAAGATAAATATCAGAATTTGACTGAGCGTCGTCGACTATCCCAAACTCAATACAGTTCAGAGTGGTCAATAGTGAGTTAGCCGATTTTAATGCTTCGAATAAAACTCTTATAATTCTTAAATGGAATAAGGTAGAAGGGTAGACCTTGTGCAGATCGACTGAAAAAATGACTTTGCTATCGATTGAGTAAATTGAAAATCGTAGTAAATGAAGGTACTTTGTTTGAAAACTTCTGGTCAAATTCTGCAGCAAAAGCAAACCAATTTCACCAATCCATAGTCAGGGTAATGTACCTGAGTTTTACTTTTTCCACATTTCAGATCGAACTATTCTAATCATAAGAAGTTTTTCTCGTTATAGCATGCTTATTATGTTACGTCTCAGTAAGCCATGATTTTCTGATAAACATCTGATTTCTTTTTTATAACACCCTGTGCTGCTCTAGATATTTTTGAAACACAATTGGAAATGAGTGTCGAAATATATAACGAGAAAAGTGAACTCTCAGTAGGGATGTCAATGTTTGCGTTTGCTGAGCTCTACTCTTCAAGGAGCACGAACACATTCTACAATCCTTTAAATGAGTTTTCGAATACTTTGAGTTATCTAAATATTCCGTGCACCTTTTCTGTGGTAGGGTGCCATGAGTTACTAGGTACGAAGCCGGAAACTGACATCCTTAGTTTTTGGATTCCACAGATCTGCACTTGAATTTCGCCGTCGAGATCTAGTACATCAGAAAGAACATAACACACATCCTATTATCTATAACTTTTAGTCTAATAAGATACAATGGAAGGAAACAGCGATAGAATGAAATTTTGTAGCGCAGTGCTAGTAGTGCTTCAAGCAAGAGCTTTAATTACATGCTTCATTCTTTAAGCAATTGAATCTTTCTTTTTTAAGGCAAAACAATGGATAGTAGATTCATGTCTATGCTCTTTCATATGTGCTACGTCTTGACCTTCAAGTCGAGTTTAGATTTTCGTATCTCTGGAAAACTAGAAACTTCAGATCGAAAACTAGAGGTATTAGTTTCTTGTTCGATTCCTCGAAACAATGACTTAGAATATTGCTTGTATTTTTAACAAGGCAAACTACGTCGTGGGTTTGTACTCGTAGGTACGGAACCGAAAACTGGCACATCTACTCGTAGATGTTCTCATTTTTTACAGCTGACCACAACAATGTGTGTAATTATTCATGGCATAATCATTGTTAATTTATTTTGCCAGTACTATCTCTATATCTATTTTCAGATTATCTTCATGGCTAAGATAAATGCATGGTTTATTTTTCATATATCGATTCTAGCGCTGATATTTATTGTATTCTTTTTACTGTTTTATTACATGAACTCACGCTTTATCACAGTAGCAACTATTGCGAACAGCCAACTATCATGGACATCATCGTATTTCGATCAAAAGACTGATGCATCTAGTCAGGGTTATGGTTGGAAAGTGGTTGGAGATACATATGATGAGCAAGTTCGTCTTCGGAATATGGCTACTATGGTTGCTGCCTGGCCAAAAGCTGCTGAAGACAATGTGCCTACAGTGCCATGTTTATCAGCTGATGGTCATATGCTTGTACTAAGTGCCAGCGCAAGTCGTGTGCGGTATGGTGTAAGCGCGACTTTTATAATGGTCTTTCATAGTGATGTGATAGCTGTCCTTCCGAAAAAGAAATTAGCACAGCCGATCCCTACTCTTCGATTGAGCTTGTGGTGTATTTTTGATGATGGATCAGTAACACCCGCATACAGTTTCGATGTGAGCCGTTACCATGAACGTGTATCTCTTCTTGATTGTCCACTTAGTATGTTTGCTAGTGACCAATTGTGGCGATATAATCGAACACTACGAGTGTATGTCGCTTCGACAACAGATAAAGATCGCAATGTACCTATCTTAAAAGCATTCATCACTGTTCCAACACCTTCCTTGCTTCTATCAAATTCTAGTCAGGAATCGTTAACATTATGTACTTCACCACTGCACAATGGAGCTGAATATTTAACTGAATGGATAGAATTTCATCGGTTGGTCGGTTTTCGAAAGTTCGCCATTTATAACACAACCGACACTCATCAACGCTTGTCGTCTGTTGTCAACGCTATCAATCGAAAATATTCGAATCTAGTTGACGTCATTCAATGGAATTTTTCATCTCTTGCTCTGGCCGACGTTTCATCAGTAGGATATTTTCAGATGGAAGCTTTGCATGATTGTCTGATTCGTTATGGTGATCAATCAGAATGGTTAGGTATGTTCGACCTCAACGAGTACATTGTGCCGCGTGATCCATGCCAAACTGTGCTTGACTGTTTGCATGATAACTATCGTCGACGTGTCATCGGATCAATCAGTTTGATGAGTTATTTCTTCTGCTCGAAAGAGTCTGCTAGATACGCACTCAAAGAGAAGGACACAAATCGATTAGTTATCGAACGGTTCGTTTTTTACGCACGTGATCGTCAGGAACTATGGAGTGACAAGTACCTTCATCGACCACGCTTTGTTCACTATTTATCTAATCACCATGAGGCGATTGGAATTCCAACGGAATTGCCTTCACGAGATCGTATATTGTTGGCTCATTATGTATCTATAACTCAACCGCGAAATATATCAGCCTGTAGTACTAGTGAACAAAATATGACAGATACAAGCATTCGAGATCGATTCGCGAAGAAAGTCAAGGATGGAATAAAAAATTTGATAATCTAACAATTTATTTGTGATGACAATCAGTAGTTTTCTGGAAGCCTTTAATATTTTAAGACTCTGCAAAGATTTGTCACATCTTCTATGACTCTCTTGAAAAAGCATCAATCATGGTTGTTTGAATAAGACATCGTTCTGTCTTGCACCTATCCATGTCATTTCGTATGTATGTCTCATTACAATTATTCTATTTGAAAATTTACGAGCTCATTGAGCATTCTGCTACAGAGTTATCTATTCCAACGCAATTTCAAACTCTATCCTAACTTAGTGTATTTGAAAGACTATGTTGAGAAACCTAGATCTCGAAAATTGTAGACAATGCAAACACTTGCTTTCTGAAGTGAGAGTTAGCAGAAAAAAAGCATTTTTGAATTTCCGGGAAAACCTGTTGACTGGTATTTCTTCTCTTTCTTGCCTATTTTACTATCTGTTTTTTCTCAATTTCTCATTGGGAACAGCACAAAAAAAGTGAAATACTAGAAATGTGATACGTTTTCTACGAGAAACATGAAATTTCAATATATAGAATACTTCAGCAAGTGAAATTTGAGAATACACTCTCTCTTTCAAAAGTCCCTGAAGATGAGTGCTCAAAGAAGCTCGGAGGCTTTCAGCGTCTATAGATTTTCGGTAACACAGAAAAAGTTATAGTCAACTCAACTTGGTAAAATGCTTCTTGTAAGGAGATGCATTACGAGATCAAAAGAGCTCAAATTGACACCTAGTCATCGTCTGTGACATTCAATCATTTTCCAGGCACTGTTTTCGTTTTTTTTGAAAACGTTCTTCAATGCTTTATGAATAACTCTCGAATGCTGATACAAGTCAAATTTAGCTTTTTGCTGTGAGCTAGGACTATCTAGAAAAATTTTTTGTATATTGAAGTTTCATCTTTCTCATAGAGAACATATCATATTTCCAGTATTTCATTTTGCTAGACTCTTTTCAATGAGAAGTTGGGAAAACTAGATAGTAAAATAGGCAAGAAAAGAAGTGAAATACAAGCTAGTAGATTTTTCTGAAAATGTTACAATACCTTTTTTCTGTCGACTGTGATCTGAGCAAGTAAATGTTTACTTTTATTATGATTTGAAAATCTAGGTGTATCAAAATAGCTTTTCAAAAAAACTTGGGTAGGGCAGAATTTGCAATTCGACTATAATAGGTGACTTTGATGGACTGATAGACAGCCGTTCAACTAAGAAAGAACAGAATCACAGAAGGATCTGAATAGGCTCATTTTTGAATAGAGGAAAAATTATCTATCATTTGATGCAAAATTTCATGCTGAGCTGTTTCATAGTGATTTCGAAATAAATTGGCGATGTGTAAAACAATGTTGATTCGACAAGGAGTCTTTAACTTTCCATGATTGGCAACCTAAAATATTTTGCTAATATTTTTTCGCAACGATGTCACTCATTGTGAGAGGATTTCATTTGATAAAGTATTCAATTCTACATCGGTTCCTGTAAGAACAAGTCTACTGAAAAAGATCTTCGCTTTGTCACTTGCTTGATGGTCACTAATAGTTTGTCTAAAAATTTGAAGTTCCTTTTTGCTTGTGGGCCGACAGAGACCCTCACATGGCGATTTATACACGTCTTTATATATAGATTGATAGTGCTTTGGACAAGTTACAAAGGCGTATATATGTATTTGATAGTAATTAAACACAGGTCACTTAAGAAATACGAAGCACACTGCTCTTGAGACATTATTTTTGTGCCTTTTTGACTAGTATTTACTCGGTTTTTCCGATCAAAAATCATACTTGCGATGAATATTATGAACTTATTTGAAACGAATACAAAACGCTGATCCCACTTATGTATGCTTTTGAGATTTTTGTGTACCCTTTTTCTATAGAGAAATGCCTTCGTGATTCTTCTCATGAATAAGGATAGAATGAAGCGTATAAAGATTGAGTTCTAATTCAGTATTTATCTGTCATCATGTGCTCTGCTAGCATTTTACAAGGTTGAAAATTCCTTCTTGCTCTTCGAATGAATTTTTATCGATTTCATTTTTGAGTGACTCGACAGGAAGATCATAAAGAAATTTCTGCACGAAAAAAGAGTTCACAAAAGTGTTAAAATCACACCGAAGTCGTATGTGCTTCTTGCACTAATTTCAAATAAGTTAATAATATTCACAGCAAGTATAATTGTTGATCGGAAAAACCGAGTAAATACTAGTTAAAAAGGCACAAAAATCATGTCTCAAGAGCAGTGTGCTTCGTATTTCTTAAGTGGCCTGTGTTTAATTACTATTAAATACATATATACGCCTTTGTAACTTGTCAAAAGCACTATCAATCTATATATAAAGACGTGTATAAATCGCCATGTGAGGGTGTCTGTCGGCCCACAAGCAAAAAGGAACTTCAAATTTTTAGACAAACTATTAGTGACCATCAAGGAAGTGACAAAGTGAAGATATTTTTCTATAGATTTGTTATTACAGGAATCGATGTAGAATTGAATACTTTATCAAATGAAATCCTCTCACAATGAGCGACATCTCTGTGAAAAGGTATTAGCAAAATATTTTAAGTTGCCAATGGTGGAAAGTTAAAGATTTTTTGTCAAACCAATATTGTTTTACACATTGCCAATTTATTTCGAAATCACTACCGAACAGCTTAGCATGAAATTTTGCATCAAATGATAAATAATTTTTCCTCTATTCAAGAATAAGCCTATTTCGGTCCTTTTGCACTTTCATTTTTTTCATCTATGTTAAATATTGCTGAGGTCAATGTATGCTCAGTGACTCGACAACACAAAACACTGTTAAATTGACTTTCTAGTTCTATAGTGGGAGCAATTATGTAAATGTATGCAGGGAAACAAAGATGGAGATATGTTTGAATGAGCATTTTACAAAATTTTGGTGATATAAGAAAGAACGCTCAAGAATTTTCTCATAACACATGACAGATATACGAGCGGCAGATCGAGATACCCATCACGCTCTATATTGAGAGTCAGCATCAATAGCGAAAATGAAAATAATATTTTTTCAAAACACAGTTTCAACTCAATGCAAGATTTAAAGATCCATTTAAAAACTGGAATTCAACAGAATTCAAAAGTCAAAACCGGAAAGGTGTAAAAGCTTCCGAAAAAGGTGAAAAAGAAAACTTTTTTATTGGAAACTCACGTAGAAACCTAGCATTCGAAAGTGCGCTATTCGCCTCTGTCATATTAAGATGTCTATCGCAACCTGTAAGGCACGCTGAAGGTTCAATTATCATATTATGTAACTCGTAGTTCAGTAAAAACGATGTATCACAATGTACGTTTCTCTGATGATGAAGCTGTTGATGTAGTTATTTTTTGTTGTTCAAATAGATTTAAGGACGATAGAAACGATTACAGGAACAGCCTGTAGTGTGTATCCATTCCATTTTCCATTATGTGGCCATAAGTTAGTAAATTTTCAAACAACTTTGCTGAAAATATTCACCATAACTTCAGATGGCTTCTATCTGCAAAAACCGCTTGATCGAATGATTTTCAAGCACTTTCATTGTGTAGAAGAATAATGTTCAAAGTTGTTTAGCTAGATATTGCAATTTAACTGACTTAAAATTGGCCAAGTTGTGGTTATATAATCGTGATAAAACTGGAAGTAAGATAAAGGCAATTTTGTTATTCTTTGTCTACCAACTGTGTCTACTTAGAGGACCGCAGGTAACATTGTCAGAAGCTTCAGTACAACACGAAAACTATATCTCCAGACAAATCCATGATTGAGTCACCAGTGTTCAAAGTCTGAGAAATCGGGATTCGACTGCCAAACAACGGATTTTTTATTTTCGTTTTCAAATGGTTTTCATTCTGGATTATAGCAGGAGATACCTGAAATTTTCCAGAGTAGTACAGTTTTGTAGGAAAATTTTTTCTTCTAAAACTAGCTAGATTTCAAATAATAAATGTATTTTCATGAATATGGGATTGTCTTTTCACTCAAAAGTTTAGAAACAAATCCTCAATGATGTCTTGAACAGTAAAATCAATTCAAATATTGATCAGAAAGGAGAATTTGATGAACGACTATTTTTCATTTCGATTCAAGTTTATAATTTTTTCGAATACGATATCGTGTGAAGAATTTCAATGATTTTTTTAAAATGAAATCTGAATTCCATCTCCTCCTATTGACATCATCCATAGACTATATCTAGATCTTTGGGCTAAACAAATGTTGTGCTCATGAAAAATGTCCTAGATTTGAATTATGCTAGTGTTTATAGAAAACATTTTTTTTGAAAATCTACACTGATTGAGTCAGACTTCTGTTCGATGATAAAGGTTGCTGATGAATAGAAAGCTGCTTTCAAATCTGAATTCTGCAGACTCTCCTTGGAAATGATACTATATCATGTCCACTTTTTACAACCTGCGACTGCTGAAAGCATGGAAATTAAACAAGGTTTTGACTAAGAAAACGGAAACACTCTTATACATAAACTATTTCCGAAAAAAACTTATGTATAAGAGAGTATATTTTGAACGGAACAAATGTTTTGTGAATCACACTTTCTAATGTGTAATGAATTATTGGGTGGGAAAAGTAATACTACTCCTCACCCACCCACAGCTGCCCCGCAGACGCGTGACAAACATTTGGAAATTCTATTTTGGACTGTTTGACAATAAAGTTTTTTTTAAATTATAATCAATAATATAAATAATACTTTTTACTTCAATCTCTTTTGGAAGCTTAATTCGACTTTAGAGTTTTATGAAATACAATTATTAGTTTGTGTTGAAGTAATTAGGGAGAAAACCTAATCGCTCAAGATTGCTCCCACAGACCGTGACAGATTTTTTTAATTATAGTTCCATCATGTTTCACATTTTAATCTCAGAGAAATTGTGCTACCAAATTTTTATATGCAATTATAATGTCTGTTCCATTATATCTAAGTTGATTTTTCTCAATAGTTTCCCTTCATTTCTTGTCATCGCTTTATTCTGATTCTTCGCTGA